CCAATTGCTTAAATTGGAAAATTAACTGCGATGATCATTCTTCACTTGTAATATGTTTTGTTGCTTGGACAGAAGGTCTCTTGGACAGCACAGGTGATATGATGCTAGGAAATCCAACAAATGTTATTAGTAAACAAAGTATGGATCTTAAATGTAGAATAACTACAAATTTATAAATGTTGACATAGAAAGAGATTTCTCTTAAGTCTTACAATTACTTATGGTCAAGTATTTCGTTTAATATCGGTAATTTATTGTTCTCAGATGCGAAGAAGCGTGTTTCCAAATAACACCATCATTTATCAATGTTTTGAGCAATTTCCTGGAAATTATCTTGAACAGAAGATCTAAACGTTTAGCAATTTCCTTTCCGAATATTGGTATTGATATATAAAGCTCGACTTAGTTGTTTATCTCTTCATCTCCCAAAGGCGAACGACACTTTTTCCAAAATCAGCAAATAAAGACTCTCTACCTGTGAACAATGAAATATACCATTTGAAAGCCACTGATCAACTTATTTAAGAACTGACATCAGCAGCTATGAAGGAGGTAGCCATTTTGAGAGAAATTGCTTTAAAGTGTGAGACTAAAAAACTTCCAACACGTACCAGCTCTCAAATATCATAGGTATACCCTAAACTATAGCTTATTTAGCAGGTCTCAGTCCCGGAAGGGGCGGGGGCACTCCCTTATATGGACCATATAGGCATATGCGGCCCCAAAGGGTGGGGTTTTTCAGCCATTTTGGTCATAAATAGGGTATCGATTTTGGCCATTTTGGTTATAAATAGGGTATGGTTTACGTACTCTAGTCTTGAATTGGGTATGTTTCTTAGAAGGAGTTACTTTTTCATCATTATCGATAAGACGGTCAACAAAAGCCCTTCATAACTTATGTTTAGGGTAACTGTGCCAGCGGCAACGGTCATAAATAGGGTATCAAATTTTTTGCCAAGTCGTAAATAGGGTAGTAAAAATCGCAGATTTTGGTCATAAATAGGGTAAGAGTTTTGGGAAGTGGGCCGCACACCCCCACCCAACTTTTCTGGAAGTACCCCCCGGGGTCTTAGTACACAGCTTGATGTGAAGCAAGTTCCATGTGCATCTCGAAACTAAAAGAAATTAGAAATTTGTTGAGGTGGTCAACCATGTCTCAGATAGGAGGGGGTCGCAATTTTTTACTCAAAGATTAGATCTTTTCAAGACAATTCTTGAGGCAAATTCTCATGAAATTGTGTGCCAACTGGCACTCTTACCGTTTGTAAAGGGTTATTCTGCTGTAAATCTTAAAAGTTCACCCACCATTGTTATCGCACCAGAAGCATATAATAATAAAGTTACCTTTAAGTCATGTACTACGAGGCTTAATCAGCAATCGAAGAAGACAAGAGATTTAGATGTATTACATTTACTTCTTCTTCCATGGTACCCCACCTCCTTCATTGCTGAAGATTCTTTACTCCATACCTACGAAAATAGTAATTCCTGAGAGTTCCAGATCTTTGAGAGCCCTTGCTGATGTACTGACAAGAGACAACGACCCTGTGGTACCTCTGACATTTGAGTAACGAGTGCCGTGCAGTGAGTCTGTGTTCTACCAAGCTTTTTGCCTAAGCCAAGTTCGTCCGCCCGTAATTCGTGTATTTCACTGCACCCAAGCTGTCCGTCCCTAACCGCGCAGTTCAGCGCAGAAAACATTTCATTACAGCTTTGGTTTAGATTTTGTACCCACTCCTCCGCGCCACTCTGGCCTGTGTTGGGGCTTGTGCCAGTTGATGTCAAATCACCAGTCTCCATGGCCAGGCCCGGCGACTAAGTTCTCAATTTTCGTTTCGAAGTTGTTATGCAACTGACGCAGCGCGCCATGATGGCATGACAACTGTTGGGGTTCTCTCGGCTGCTCGAACTATCTATTGTTTGATTGGATAATGAAATTCGCCGTTTACGAGGTGCTTTGTACCCCTAATGTTCTTAGTTCCCTTTAGCAACCAAGTCCTCGCCACAGACCCTCAATTCAACACCCGCAAGTAACCGTCAGTTTTCAATTAATCATCTTAAATTATACATAACATGGTCACTTTGATGGAAATAGTTTATTTCAATGATGGAAACGCATCCAATATAACTTGCACAAAATGCTTCTTCAAAATCACAATTAATTATTCTTTGTTTTGTTTTTTTCTTTTCCATAACAAAAGTGATGCTGTACGTCTCCTAAACAACTTAGGATTTCAGTTTGATTGACAGGAGAACATTAACACTACATATACTTAGAAGAAGCGGCTGTTAATTTGCAATTCAGATTAAGTTTTTTTCCATTCGCAAAAACATATGTTTGTTCTTACATAACGTTAACGTGGCGTGAATTTCCAGGCGACTTTTTCGGCTTATGGCTCGATGAATAATTCTTTTTTCACTTTTCAGCGAGCTAGCATTTACTCTTGATAGATGCAACAGTACCCAAATTGCTGTGGCAATTTTCTACACGATGAAAAAGGAAAAAGGTATATTAGTTACAGAAAAACGCAGTTCCGCAGCTTTTTAATATCAAGAAATGCAAATTTATACTTTGTAGCATGTGTACACATATTGGCAAAAATTTGATGTGAACGACAAGTTTAAGAGGGTAACCACTGTTCGGAAGCTTAACAAGATCAACTTGTTGTTAAGAAGTGCTTTTTGTGAAACACAACGAGAACTATTTTCTCAAAACAAACATCCACTGCTCTCGTTGACAGCGAAGATAACAATCTCGAATCACCAGGTAAGAGATGTTTTTCAGTATTTTGGCAATACAAAAAGCAGGAAATCAGAGATTGCGTGTTTGGCGAGAAGTAATTAGAAGCCAAGGGTTGAGTCGAACTAGCATGACGCGAAATTGGTGATTTTGTTTCGATTTCTAGTACACTTATGTTCTATTTTCGTCTTTTACAGGATCTAGTCATTATACATGGAAATGAAACTTTCAGGATTTCGTCAACACTTACATCTTCATGAATTGTGGACATCAAGCCATTAATTCAGTCAGATGATACGATTTCTAGCTAAGCGCCGTGCTATTAAAACTGCATTTTATCCAACTTTACGCTGAAAGGCCTGGAATCGGACGAAGTACGTTAAACTCGGCAATATCCTAGGGGTTTTTCAGAAATCACAGGATTGAGGGAGAGCTAAGGTTTTCAGTTAACTGTTTTGTTTGGTCCGAGGTAACGTTGTCGCTATGCGGGACCAAAATAGAACTTTTTCCCGAAGTTCGTCGTCTGCCTCACAGGGCGGGACTGGGCATCGCGCGCCGTCAGTGGAGGCGCTAAAGATCATGGGTAGTCTGGAAGAGGAAGAGAGCAAGCGAGTCAGATCGGACAGTGGTAAAGCATGGCTACAAGGTCCCCACTCGCTGTCACGACGAAGCTGTCGCTTTGAACTACCAATGAACATGCTTGATCTTGAACTGCTCTCTCCGTTACAGTATGTTTCGCAGTTCTGCCGCGTCCACGGACGACGAAGAACACTATTTCGGCATTATTTCACTAAAAATGACCGTGACAGGGACGGATCTATAAGCAAAAGGGAGCTACAAAACGCGCTCCGAGACTTGTACGCTCAGTCCATCAACAATGAACAAGTGAATGTCATTCTCGATCTTCTTGATATCGACAAATCCGTGCGAACATTTGATTTGGATGCGTTTACAGCCGTAGCGGCATTTTCTGAGCGCTACCTGTACCACTGCTACAGTCTAGCCGTACAGGATCAAAGTGAAAAACGAATGGTGCTGGAAGAAACCGACTTCTGTGCCCTGCACTGGAAACTAGAGGGGTGCAAAATCAGCGATAAGCTAAGAAACGTTTTAGACGTTTTGTAGAGTGATTCGTTTTGTAGGTGAAACAAGAAGTTTTTCTTATGAACCTAAACTCAGGCTTTTTCAATGTTATCCTGCGATCAGGCGTTCTTTTATTTCGGCGAACGCAGGGATCACAGGTTAGCTTTTTGTAACAACACGTGCTTGTTTCTCAGGCTGTAGCAGTCATCATACGTCCCGCAATGAACACACTGTACCTTTCTCGTTATTCATTTGTACTTGGTATCGAATTTCTCTAATAAAATTATTCAATGACTAAAGAAAATGCCTTTTTTTTCCTTCTGTTGTAAAGTGCGCAAAGGAGTAACGCTGTCGTCGTAGAAGAAAAGCATTATTTTTAGAGCCTTAACGACGTGGAATCCTACTAAACATTCCGCCATATAAATGCATATGCTAGTTTCATGTTATTAAACTTGCGCACAAAAAGTATTTAAGACAGTAAGTGCCCTTTGAGTTGTAACTAAAGGACCTTTTTGACGATCTCAAGTTTTTCCGATTTTTTCATTCAAACAAAAAAAATCTCAGCAAGAGCCCATTACCTGGGCTCCTGGGCTCTAGATATATCATGTAACGTAACGCAATGCCTGCCCCTTGGCATACATTTCTTTGTAAACAATTAGCAAGTTTAAGGTTTCAGTTTTCTTGAGTTTGTAACGGATTCTTATGAATTTTCCCATATTTGCTAAGCTCGGCATGATAAATTGAACTATGGAGCCAGATTTTGTTTCTATGAAAAATATGAAAAATTGCTGATATTGCGTGAGATCCGCTGCGGCCAAGTTTCTGCTTGCTTTCTGGCGTTCTTAGCAATCAGACTCCTGGGAGGCGTGATCCAGACAAACGCTGCTTGGAATAAACTAAGGAAACAAATAAATTCAAACTTTGACAAACGAACTCTTTTGTCAACGTTATTGGCTGGGAGAGATTCAGGAGATTGAAAATGAAAGTTTGACCCCCAAACCCCCAGACATGAATCAACATCTAAAAATAGCAGCGTTATTCAAATCCATGGCGTTTTTACGATACTTTAAAGAGCGCCAAAAGCATGGTAAAAAAACACACTTACTGACAGTCTGAGGAAGTAACTTGGCAGTGATTAACGCACAAACTGCGGGGCTAAACATGACAATAAATCACTTTTCTGTTCCTTTGCACATTGTTTCCTTGAAATAGGACGCGCAGAGACTGGTCTACATGTAACTACCCAAGAGTCCATGCGCGCGTCTACCCTTCCAGTGACTTCCTGTAAACCTTTGGAGAGAGCAGTTTGGGAAGATGATGTGGACACATGTAGAAACTTAGATCAACTGTTTCTCAGCCCCTTTCGTTGCAGCAATTGATAAATATCTAGAATGGCTAATATTGCAACAAAGAGAGTCCAGAGGGAGTTTAGAGAGGTCGTCAACAGCGAAGAGGTTTGTGTTATATTTTTGTTTCTAACGTAATGTTCCTTGCTTGTATTAATTAAGCACATTCACACCTATCTTTCCAACCGGCCAGTAAGTCAAGCTTCTTTTCCTGCTTAAAAAATAATATCTTTACATATGAATGCGTGAAAGCAAATAGCATCCAAAGTCGATCTCTTCTTTGTAGGTCTTGAAGTGTAAAATAGAGTTAGTTGACGAAACATATACGAGACTTCGTGGAGAAATAGCTGGACCCCCGGACACCCCATTCGAAGGTAATTTGTAGTTTAATTCTAATTTAAGACGTTCTTGACTTGGTTAATTCAATTCCTAAGTGATAAATTTGTAAAGGAGTTTTCATTTGTTGTGATTCTTTTAAACTAGTTGTCACGTTTTTCTTTCGGAAGTCTGATTGCCATTGTCGAGGTTGCATTTGTAACCTGGCAAATCAAAATATGTTGTCGTAATCACTTTTGTTGGAAAGTTTGTCTAGAGAACGTAGCCAGAGTACTTTCTTTAATTTTGCAGGCACACAGCACAAAATGCTTTCTTGTACGTGTCATTTGTCTTGGTCTCTTTTGCAGTACAAAGTCATACACTTTGTACTACAAAGTTTGATGGAGTGGTGTGAATATGATCACAATTTTCAGTCTAATGCATCTAAAAATACTTACTGTGGAACCCAGTTAATAGGGACACCATAGCAACCCACAAAAGAGGCCTAATTATCTGGGTGTCTTTACTAAATGTCACCTTGCACTCGCGATGCTTCTCTCCACCCAGGAGTATAAATGGGTGCCAGTGAATTTAATGCTGAGGGTAACCCTGCAATGGACCAGCATCCCATCCAGCGTGGAGTAGAAATACTCCTAGTCACTTCATGCTACAGAAACAGAGATAAGCTCTGGGCCACTTGCCTTAAGCAGACTTTACCTTACCTTACTTGTATTAAGCTGGGTTTCATTATAACCAGCATCAACACATTACTGATACAAAGGCTAAATCATAAAATTGTAAGCAACAGAGGGATGCATAATGTCTTATCTGTGACTAAATTTCAAAATAAAAAAATGTGATGCTTATTCAAATAGTAAAAATTTCCCACGCTAATGAGAGTAAATGCTCTGTTGTTTTAAACATGAGAATGTAATCATTTAAATTAGATCAGGACTTTTGTTAGTGAAATCACATTAGCCTGTAAAAAAAATTAATTCATTGTCTAACAGTTTTCCCATCAGATGTGTTTATCTGCATAAAGCTTTGTTTTATTTCAATGTCTGGTGCACATCAACTTCAAGATTTGTTTGATATTCCTGACACTCATTGTCTTGATAAAACACACTTTTTGATTGGTGAAGAAGGCAAATTTTGGTGGAACTTACTCTGGAATATATAAGCAAAGCTATTATTAGCTAAACCACCTAAAGAAACAGATGATTCCAGAAAATATCCATACCCTACCACGGACAGCATGAACATTTTAACCCCCCCCCCCCCCCCTCGCCTTCAGAAATCCAAAAATGCTCTACCCCCATGCCCACTGAATTCTAAAATCATAATCCCCCCCCCTCCCTTCTGGATGTCTGTTTTTTACTTCAACCATCTGGAATCTCAGTTTGACTCCCTGCAACTTCCAATGAAAGAGATTTTACATCTTCCCAGAAGTTTATCAACTGTCTACAGGACTTGAAATTGCGAATGATATGATCGCATGCATTCAAGACTAAATGTTCGGTGTCTAAAACTTCCTCCTCTACAGTCAAAATTTTGCAACTAGTTTTTGACTAAACTAGTGAAGGAATAATAATTGTTTCGTGTTAGTTACTATGGAAATTAGAACATGTGTGGACAAATCCTGCCTAATTTACCTTCGATATTACGTTTGAATTACTGTCGATATTCACTTGTTCAGGAGCCATTAAAGCGGTTTCGTTATGAATATGTATCACTGGCACATAGTGAACAAACATGGCGGGTCGGCATTCATTGCAAATGATTTTCTGACAAGAAATTCATCAACTTTAGGGCCTCTGGAGCCCGATGTACAACCCAGATTTTATTGCTTTTTTTTCTGTAAGTGAATGTGAACAGATGTGGGATCAATCAATGCTTGTCTTGTATTTTGCTTTCTGTGGTCGTCAGCAGTGTGGTAAGTTCATTTGTGCTTTCACACTCTCTCCTGTCCCCTCTAGAAAGCCCCCCATGCCCTGGGAATTCCAATTGTAAGTACCCCCATGCCTTTGGATATCCAGTTCAAAGAACCCCCCTTGCCCTCAGAATTCCAAAAAGCCACCTGTGGTATAGGTATGGATATTTTCTGGAATCATCCAATGTGGTTCAGATTTTAGCAGCAATTAGTGGGGAAAATAGCTATGTGATGGCCCAAGTAATGGTTGGGAAGGATACCAACAGGGAGTTGGAAAGGCCTGAAATTCTGGTATAGGTGAGGCGTTTACTATTATGGCAGAAAGGGCATGGTTGTCATCTTTTAGAGATTGAAAATTATGTTCTGTAAGTGCTTTTGCCTTTTGGTATCCCATTTTAAACTTTTTGGCTTTTCTATATTATGGTTCTCATCGATAACAACTTCCCTACCAGAGACAAACACCCTCTCCAACCTGCGGCCAGCTGGGGAGAATTTTATGGTGTTTCTTTGCTGGCTTGCTGGCTTTCTTGTGAGTGATACACCTGAATGTCAGGTACAATAATCATGTTTTTTTATATTTATTGATTGGATAATTATTATCCCTGAAACAATTCCAAATTCTTAGCAGAATTAGGTGTACTGTGCAATTTGGGGGACCTAGATTTTAATAGAGCCATTTATCCAACCACAAAAACAAATCTGTCACTGTGAGCTCTACAGTATTTCTTTATGGTATTTCTTTGCTGGTTTGCTGGCTTTCTTGTGAGTGATACACCTGAATGTCAGGCACAATAATCATATTTTTTTTCTGCTCTGGATGTAAGGAGTTTATTCATAAACAGCCTTCATACATGAGAATCCCATCATATTTTGCCACCCTCTTTCAAACTTTGTATTATTATTATTCCAAGGCACATGACGTAGGTTTTCTCGCACAGTTCAAGCTAGAGAGGCCGTCAAATGTGAAATTAATCACTGAGTACCACGCTGAAGAGCTGAAGAGCACCTTTGTTTTGTATGTCGCTCTCAAAGAAGTAGCCCATGAATGGGTTTGTTTGCCTCAGTCACACCAGGGGTTAAATTTTCGTGATGTTATTTGTGCACAATGCTATTGATTCAAGCCACTGCAAACAACTGGGTTCTCAGTGCCCCTCCCCTGATTATTAAATGTTTGTGCAGAATGCTACACTAACACCTCTGTTAACCATTGCGGAAAATTGGAATAAAAAGTATAGCAACAGAGATATGTGTAAACTCTGCAATTGACAAAACTTGTGGGACCACTGTAAGAAATCTTGTTCTTTTCCAGGTGGAAGCTACAAATTGGATATTGTCATCCCTGAAACATATCCGTTTAACCCACCAAAGGTAAACATAGACATAGCGATTCATGTAGACAGTTTATTTTACTTGGGCAGCACACTTAGCTATGGTAACGGTGTGTCCCTTAGACTTGATAAGCAGAGACTACAGGACACACCAGCCAGTTTACAGATGTGCCAAGAAAACAAAATAACAAACTAAAAATGTACCTACATTTAGTTAAAAATATTAAACTACATTACAAAAGATCTAAGAATGTGTAAGAATATGAAAATAATGTAAAAACTGTGACTGTATAAATTGTATGGATAGAAACTATGCATAAGTAAGATAAGAAAAGGAAAAAACCCAAGACTTTAATGACAAAAAAAATCACTTTTTTTATAATTTATATATACATCTGTTGGCAATGCTATTTTTAAAACAATTAGCTTTATTAATAACAATACATTGAATTAAATTATTTGTCTTCAAGGTAAATTTTGTGACAAAGATCTGGCATCCAAATATAAGTTCTGTTACAGGAGCAATATGTCTGGACATCTTGAAAGATCAATGGTAAGAGGATTTGTTTTTGACTTGACCCAAAAGAGATAGGCTGATACATACCTGTAGGTTTTTTTGCCCATGCAATTTATATACATGTACAGTATGGCCACCATTAACATTTTAGTTAAACATGCTTGGAAATGTTATTTCTTATAATAATATCATGGATGACAAATTAGTCCTTAATTTTGGCACAAAATTTCAGCATTAATTTATAATTGCCATAGCAACATTTGGCGCAAAATTTCTCGATATAATAAACAACTCAAAAACGCACAATTGTGAGGGCAATAATATTTATCACCTATGATAGTAAAAGCTAATCAAATGGTAAACTTGTGAAATTATTAGAATGTTGACAAAATGCATGTGAGATTATTTCCTAATTTCACTCATCACCATTTGATCACCCATACATATACAGTACAGTTTTCATACAAATTATAATTTGGTAAGGAGATATGAGCATACTATTGTACTTGAAAAAATTAAAGCGGAGCTGGAAAAGGCAAGTTGTGTGTCTCCATTTAAGCGTGTATAATTTAATTAAACAGCCATATGTTTGCAATTTGCAGCAATTACCTGTAACTATACTAAAATGCTCTATCTTCTCACAATAAAGATGTTACTATATTGTTAGATATTTTTTTCAAAATAAAAATATTACAGCAAAGCCACAAATTTATTACATCTTTTTTTCTTTTTTTCAGGGCTGCAGCAATGACACTACGTACTGTTTTACTGTCAATACAGGTGAGGCAGTATGAAACTATTGAACAATCACAGCTCACAGTAGTTTCCCAAATGATCTATTGTAGAATTCCAAAAGTAACCGTCCCCCTGAAAATAACGGCTTCCGGAAAGTAACATTAATTTTTTACCATCCTATTGAACCCCGAAAGTAATGGTCCCCCCGAAAGTAACAGCCCACCCGAAAGTAGCAGCCCTTTGATGAAGCCACCAAAAGAGAAACTTTAATCTCAAGCGCAATGTGGAGTGCGGATGGAGCAACCTGACTGCATGACCGAACAACTTGAAGAGTTATTTGGTATTTCATTTCAAACTTGACTGAAGTTTTCGTGAAACTATGATTTATAAGCTGTATTTCTCTAGCAGCAGAGTCAAATGATATGCTGTAGTGTAATCAGTTGCATCACGATATAATGTGATACAATACTTTCACCCTACAATACCAACGTTTAGGGCCTTTTTTGTTTATACCGTCTGCTTTGGTTATGTGGGTGGTTAGGAACACACATAAACATAACTTTTAATTTCATGTGTTACACGTCCACTTTGTCTGAAACAACTGTTACCGTACGAATGGTTTTTAACCATAGCAAAGTAATGGCTACCCATGAGTAGTGGCTCCCCCAAAGTAGCAGCCTGTTTTGGCTGCTGAATCTTTCGGAATTCTACGGTACTAAACTGGCAACTGCCTTGTTGCAAAGTTTCCATAGTCTGTGCTGAGTACATGTACCATCAGACGAGTATAGACTAGGATATCATTTTTAAGGCAAAGGTTCCTCTGTCAGGTACCTAAGACAATGAAATGAAATCTTGGTATTTTGTTAAACAAAACAAAATAAAATTATTTTTATTATTGATATCCCCAGGCTTTGTTGTCTGCTGCAGAGCCTGATGATCCACAAGATGCAGTTGTAGCAAAACAGGTGCAGAAACTAACATTTAATGTTAATTGCTTATCTTGACTTGAGACAGTTAAGACACAGGGAGGTGCGGTGGAAAAATAGTTTTTATTTTAGCTTGAAATGCTATGAGAGCTACTGGGTCAGGTTATTATTACATGTGTGCCACTGTAAGTTCTAAATGGCAAACTTTAGAAATGGGACATATACTTACAAGTGGTGCTCATTATGTGACAGAAGACCTTATCACAAAGAACAAGTTTGGAAGGGGGAGCAATTATGTGAGAGGCGACACTTACTGGATGGTCAGAGCTAATTGGAATCCTTAGTACAGTATTACTACTGTTATCATCTCAGCAAGTACATACTTTTCTTCTCATTTGTAGTTTAAAGAAAACCCAGACATTTACTGGAAAACAGCTAAGTACTGGGCAGAAGTGTACGCTGGAGGTAAGATGCAATAATATTTCATTTATAAATTATGCGCTTTCAGCCAACTTTAGAGACACCTCGTTAACATGGACAGTACTTTTCTTAATTAATTTCCTGCCTTGTTATTATGAATGGACCACTGTTAAGAGTCCAAGGGCTTGTACTGATGCAATCATGTACATATTAAAAGTGATAAGAATCATCTGCTTTAAGTAAACTATTGAGTTATGATATGAGCTGCTCTAGGCATAGCCAATATAGTAACTCTACATGTAGCTAGCTTACCAGGTGTCCTCCAAACTCCCAAGTGACTGGACAGACATAACACAGTGTTCAAATGAGTGTCATAAAACCAAAACCAATGCTATCACTCAAGCTAAGCACTTGCAAAGGATTTGGGCAGTCCAGTAAATCAATCAAAATATGAAGTAAATACATATAGCTGATGCAAAGCATGCGAAATTGCATGCAGATGAGTCCCAGTTGGTTTTGGTTTTACTTCTGATCAGATGAAAAAGTGACAGGAGTTTTTTAAGCCAATCATGTGCCATAGTAAAATGCAAAGCCAATAACTACTTTTCAACACTCGTTCCCAAGTGAAAACCATGCTACATGATTGTACATTTATCTAAAGCTTTTAGAACAAATAGCTAAAGAGGTCACTGATACTTGTGATGATGTAATCAAACTGTTCTTTATGCACAATACAGAGGAACTGATTTTGCCTGAAATATATGCAGACATCACCTTGGATTGACAGAACAAAACCAACTGACATTTTAATCTTCAGCAGTACCTCTCTATAATTTAAGTTTGACTGACTTTTGTTTAAATTTGAATGATTATGTTAATTTGCTTTGTCTTCTAGCTCCTTCCTCGCATGATATAGATTATGAACAGAAAATCAAACGGTTAACTTCAATGGGGTTTACTAAGGTTAGTATGATGTTTGCTTTATATTTCTTCATGTGTAAATAAATAATTTAGGAAATATTTTGTCATGTAAGTGGGAGACCTGTGTGGTGGCCTCATGGTTAGTGCGCTCGCCTCCAGATCGAGTGGTCCAGGTTCAGGCCCTGGCCATGGACATTGTGTTGTGTTCTTTGGCAAGAAACTCTCACAGTATTTTTGGGTACTGGCGAATGGTACCAGCGAATTTAATGCTAGGGTTAACCCTGCAATGGATTTGCATTCCACCCGGGGGGAATGAATTCCATATTCATATTTATATAACTTGACAATGTAGAAAGTACTTGTCTATTTCCTTCAAAAAGTGTGAGAGAAATTATGCATGCTCAAACTTATGAAATGTAACTCCTCCTCTTTCCTCCATCTTTTGTGTTCTATTCACAGAGTCAAAGTCTAGTGGCATTGTCGACCCATTCCTGGAATTCAGAGAGAGCTGTCGAGTCTTTACTGAGTAGCTGACAAATCTTTATGTGTCATTTTTCATAGTACTTAGCTGAGTCCTGTAACCATAGCAACTGTATATCCTCTTTACAGAGCTGACATCATGCTGTGAAAACTTCGAGCTTGAACAGGAGCACAGTCATGTACAATAGTTTATTAAATGTCAGATCTGGTACTTAATGATCTGACTTGATATAAGAACAATAGAATTTGAACTCACTTAAGCCTGGTCTACACGAGCAATTTTTATGTGACAATTTTTATTTGACAATTCTTATTTGCTTGTGTAGACAAGGAAAATTGGCGACTTTTTATGTGATAAATATATTTGCTGAACAGCTGGCGTGTTAGCTTCTATGTGACAAATAAAAAGTTGTCACATACGAAAAGATTGCTTGTGTAGACAACTTGTCACATAAAATGCGGGAAATATGTTTGTAAGGCCACATTTTTGGGGACTAAGCAGCCCCGCCTTGTTTCTGCGTATCTCTGCTGTCTGAAGTCATTACTGGCACACTAAACTTTAAATTGTTGACAAATATTTGCTATGCCATCTGTATGATCAAATCTATTTGTCACAAATAAAATTGTCAGATAATAACTGCCTGTGTAGACCACGCTATATATTGCTTTTGGTATATTTTAGATATAATTTTTAACTCCATGTCAAAATACAACTTTCTACTTGTCTTTGTGTATTAATTTTCCTGTACTATTAAATGTTGTAGTCAGAATTTGTTAAAATGGAAAGGTCTTTGTTTGTTGATTATTGACTTGATTCTTGTAACTTAAACACTAGATGAAGACTTGTTATTGTACTGAGAAATCAGACCAGAACATCGCTGGCACTTTCAGTGAGACTAATCTGACCAACTCAAAGGCCACTGAAGCAAATTCTTTGCAAATTGACCACTGGCATTTTAAAAGTTTTCAAATAGTTACTAATCAAAATGACCACACATCTGTTGCCTTTGTGATGTACAGAATGATTACATGGATAATTTGTTGGAAAACTGTTGTCACAGGGTTGTCACAGGTCAGGAAATGGTCAGGGAAAAAATTCTTCAAGGTCAGGGAAAAGTAAGAGAATTTTATCGTGAGTCAGGGAAAATTGAAATAATACGGCTGATTCAATACCACTGAAGAGTGGAAGAAACATTTGGGTCACTGTGATCTCAACGATATTTTTCCCTAATGAAGACGGAAAATTTGTTCAAAATTATCACTCTTAATGAACGAGTGAAAGAAGAAGCCGCTACTATACCTGACATTTTGCATTTCTTTGGTCAGGGAAATTTAATTTTTGTCAGGGAATTTTGAAAAGGGATGTCTGTGGCAACCATTTGTTAGACTCCATGATTTTTATTCTTTAAACTTGTGGAAAATTTCGCCGGGC